GCAGCTTTCGCCTTCTTCGGACTCTTGGCCACCTTCTTGGCACCAGCAGCCGCGGCGGGTTTCTTAGCCTTCTTCGGGGTCTTCTTGGCGCTCTTTTTGGGAGTGGCCGCGCCCGCAGCCTTCTTGGGCTTCTTGGTGGTCCCCGCGGGCTTCTTGGGTTTGGCCGCGCTCGCCTTCTTGGCTTTGGGCTTGGCCTCCCCGGAAGCCGCCTTCTTGTTAAGCTTGAAGGAACCGGAGGCGCCGGTGCCCTTGGTCTGCACCAAAGTGCCCTTGCTCACCAGGCTCTTCAACCCCAACTTGATCCGGCTGTTGTTCTTCTCCACGTCGTAACCGGCGGCCGCCAGAGCCTTCTTGAGCGCAGCCAACGACACCCCGCTGCGCTCCTTGGAGGCGGCCACGGCCTTGGTGATCAGCTCGGACACCGGGGGCCCGGTCGCCTTGCGCTTTCCCGCAGCAGCACCCGTTTTCTTTGCTTTCTTCTTCACAGGTGCTTTCTCCGCAGGTGCGGGGGCAGCAGGAGCAGCTGGAGCAGTCTCCGACATGTTTCTCTCTCACCAGGAAAGGCAAAAGTAAGCTCAAAACTGTCAGAACGGCGTGTCCCCTACGCTGAAGACTAGGGGTTTATATAGAGAGACGCTGCGTGGTGATTGGTTCCCTGCTCCGTGCGCCGCTCCGCTGGAGAAGAGATCCTCCGCTCTTCGCTGTGGCTGTGTTTGTTGCCCCTTAAAAAAGAGTAAAAATAAAAGAAATCTGGTCACGAAATAATTAGGGGTTTGGGGGAGACGGATCAGAGAGGCTTTAGGCTTCATTCATGCCTTGTTTTCTACACCTAGTTTCAAAACTGGCTCCCTGAAACTTCCCTGATTCCCCCAACTCTCTTCTAAACTTCGGTCAAATGGAGACAAGTTTCAGGTTTTCCTTAAAAATACTGTTTCTCTCTGCTTCGTTGGCAAACCTTTCTTTCCGGACATAATTCTGCACATTCTTATCTTCTCGAAGGTATATAAATAAATTCAATTATCCTGAAATATATAGGGAAATTCGGTTTTTTCGCGGAAGCAATAGCACAAGCTCTCCCCCGAGTTGTTTGCACTGAGCTGTAGGAATTGGCATTGGGATGCAAAGTTCTCATTGCAAGTGGGATGATTATTGAAAGATAAATGGATTTTTCAAAAAATATTTATTTTACCAGTGTGTAAGATAGGGTTGATCCTCCTGTTTTAGTGATTTTAACATTTTTAGAAAGATGAGGGTGTGGTGCTTTCATTCCTCTTCTAAATATGATCTCCTGACCCAGAATGGGCATTAGAGATCAATAAGACAATCTGCAATGAAAATAATAATAATGATAATAATAATAAAGTAAAAAAAATGTCAAGACAACATCATTTTGCCAGGTGTGACCTGGAAATTAGTGCATCTCATAGGTTCAGGTCACATTTTTTTAATACTGTAAATCATTTAATGACATACCTTGTCCAAAGACTGCAGCATTTAACAACATACTAGTACTTCAAAATGGTATTTGAAATTACAAATATGAATACAGAGAGTTTAGAAAGAAAAAAAAATTCTGAGGAATCATAATTTTCTCTATGCTTTTAAACTTTAAAATGTAAGCTAGGCTGTTGCAGCCTAAGTTGGCTGAATGTGTGCACCAAAAAAGCTGAGAAAACATGAACGTTTGGACAACTCCATGTTAGCTTGCAATAAAATAAAGCTGGTGAAATTAGGTTATTGTTGAGTAAATAAGCACAAAAGGGAAAATCTCCCTTGCATATTTAGCTACTAAAATGAATCTATTTGTTAAAAAAGAATTAAGAAAAGTAATTTAGTTTTGTATATCTTTTCAAATATATTTCTCTTTCCAAAAATCTAATCATTCTGACCTGCACTGAATTATGACTTCAAAATTTTTCAACATTTTCTTGTGTAAACACAAGACGGGATAATAAACTGTAAAGATGTCAAGTGCCCACACTTTTATGATTCCATTAACATACATGTTTTGAAGTAATCATTTTGGGTAGTATATACTGAAATGAAATCATTGATATCTAAGAGGCAGTCATACAACATAAAAATACAAATACTATTTATAACAGCAGTTAGTAATAGAATTACATCAATAGCACTCAGAAATTTCTCTAGGAAACATTCTGTAGGTGTCTGAAGAAAGGGTCAGTTTGTCAGCACATGGTCACAAGCATTATATGAGACCTTTTCCTTTGGGTATATGGCTTTATATTGTGTAATCCTACAAATAAAATTAACAGGTGCTTAAAAGTTAAAAACTCTGTTCATCATTATACTAGTAATAGAGGTAGCGGAGAAATGTTTGGAATTGTTAGGCAAATTAAGGCTCACATATTCAATTTGTACAGTTCACAATTTCACTTCTCTGTAGCTTTGAGTGGTCTCCATAACTAAATCTCCAATAAATGACAAAGCATTGGAGTTAAGAGCCATTTTGCACTTTGTGATAGAAAATCTCTGCCCTAACTGTAGGCCAATAAATGAGACTGCATTTCTCCAGAAAACGAAAACTTTGTTTCCATATCTTTATGTAAGAAAAGTATGCACTAGATACAGTTATTACATTATTGTTTGGGGCCTACATGCTTATCTTCTTTCACAACAAGTTTGCTGAAATTGGGATCACCCATAGGAGGGTAAACTACAAGTGATGAAAACCCTCACCTATAATGTTCATAGGGTAGCTTTCAGGAAAGAATTGTGTTCTATGCTTCATATCTGAAATTGAATAGATTTGAAAATAGTACAATACACACTACACTGTTTGCAATCATTTATTTTCTACATATAAAAAGAAAACTAGTTAGATAAATGGTAGCTATCTGCTGTATAGGTTGTAGCTCTCTCAATTTTCTGTAAATTCTCATCGCCACAAACCTACCACATTACAGTGAGACACAGGTATCATGCACTAGATCATTCCAAAGTGATTGTGTTTCAGCAGTCCAAAATTCACAGGTTTGCAAAGATTTCAGAAGAAAGGGGACTGCAGAATAATTATCAGCAAGGAGCAAAGGAAAAACAAGGACTACAGAAAAGACAGAACTTTGCTAGAATAAAATGTGAAAACATTACATTAATATCCTATCAGATGGCCTTGCAACAGGACAACCATACTATAGCAGCTTTATGTTCTGAAAAGGACAGTTATGAATTCAAACTCCCAATTTCTATTTAACATGTCTGTAGTACACCAGCATGTATAGGAGATTTGGAAGTTGCCTAATTTCTATTATATATTAGAAATACTGTAAATCTTCATTCTCAGGCATGTGCCAAATTGCCATTCCCACTCCTGATGAGAAGCTCCTCAAGAAAAATCCCTTATCACAGAACAGCACAATAGAACTTCCCGTAACTGTCCAATAGGTCACCACGACCCACACATGGCTACTGAGCACTTCCATGTCTTTTGTTATTCAAGTCACATTTATTTTTAGTTGTATATAACTGGAATTTCAATGAGCACAGGTGGTTACTGGCTACTATAAACAGGACAGCACAACTTCAATGAAATTCTTTTCAAAATAAAATGAGCAAACCACCCCCTCAAAGATTTTGTGTGAAATACAAAAGATTTGGGGAAAAGTGTGAAATTCTCTTCTATGTCTCACAAGGTTCCAAGTAAGTGTAAGGCAGTTGAGATATAATTGCCTCACCAGGGAGCACCTTGAAGTGTGCTGGCTTCATGACTGACCCTTTATCCTGGGATCACTTTACTCCTGCCTCAAAATTTTTCTGAAAGAAATGATGTGATTGCCACTGAATACTTGACACTACCAAGCCATTGTTGGGTGGCCTGCTGAAGACACTAAATTGCTGACCAAAGGAAGGAAGAAATGAAGATTGTGTGGCAGTTTGTATAAGGGAAGAGCAATGTTTCTAAGCCAGCAGGTAAGTGGCGTAACCTAAGTCTCAGGTAGGCTCCAAACCCAGAAAATAAATAATTTTTTTCTCCCTATGTGGTAAACAACAGAGAAAGAATTTTTAAAAATTGCATCTAGTACGTGGAAGCCACTGAATATGAATGTTTGCAATGTGTAAATGCTGGAATTGGGCTAAGGTTATCAAATAATGATCAGGAAATAGAGCAAGACTTTTACTGCTTTTTAGTTGGGACATTTCACAGAATGCTTTCAGTGTTATTTTTGTTAATTCTGTGAATTGCAGCTATTATACCACTTGATTCATTCACTAATGTCATTCTGCCATAGAATTAGTGGTAGGTGGCAAGGTCTTCGGGCTCAAAAATCAGACCCACTAATACATTGCTAAGAGTTAAATCTCCGAACCTGGGATTTTTTTCAAACCTAGAATGCAGGTAGTACCTTATAAATTGGGAAGAAGGTAACGGGAAATTTCACATGGGCTTTATACACTTCCTGGGAAAAAAAAGTACTGAAAAAAAGATATGTGTACATACACTGATCAAACACAAAGATTTGTGGTCCATAGGTTGTAAAATCTAAGGATAGTCCCTTTTTTTTTTTTTTTTTTTGCTTTGAGACAAGGTTTCACTATGCATATCAGGCTAGCTTTGAACTCACTTTGTAGCCAAGTGAGTTCTGGCCTTGAACTTGCAGTGATTCTCTTGCCCCTTGCCTCAACCTTCCCAGTGCTGAAATTACAGTCGTACACCACCACACTTGGTCTCTTACATTTTTAAGGAATCTTCTCATTGAAAACTTATTATTTCGGTATCTCATAGACTAATGAATTACCATAGCCTTCTTTTGCACATTATAATACTAAGTAGCACTGTTGTTAGAATTCATCGTCATCCTTCCAGAAGACACAGAGACCAGCAGCTCAGCACAGGATAGCTTGAGTCACGCGACGCTCGGGTCTCCGCCCCTTTCCCTTCTCTAGGCAACTGCACGTACAGCCAGTAGGGCGTGGCGGGGGGCGGGGGAGAGGTGGGAACGGAGATTTGTTCCCGCCCGCGCTGTTGCAGTTTCCAAAAAGGTCCGCAGCAGGCCTATATAAGGGAGTGCAGCCAGGTTCTGAGCTACTGAAGTTTTGCAGCAAGAGGATTCTTCGCTATGTCTGGTCGTGGCAAGGGAGGCAAAGGCCTTGGGAAAGGCGGCGCCAAGCGCCACCGCAAGGTACTGCGCGATAACATCCAGGGCATCACCAAACCCGCCATCCGCCGCCTGGCTCGCCGCGGCGGCGTCAAGCGCATCTCCGGCCTCATCTACGAGGAGACGCGCGGGGTGCTGAAGGTGTTCCTGGAGAACGTGATCCGCGACGCCGTCACCTACACGGAGCACGCCAAGCGCAAGACGGTCACCGCCATGGACGTGGTCTACGCGCTCAAGCGTCAGGGACGCACGCTCTACGGCTTCGGCGGCTAAGCTGACTTGTTGGGGGAGTTTGTAGCAACAAAGGCCCTTTTCAGGGCCACCACTTAACCATGTGAAGGGCTGATGCACCTATTTCTGAAGGTAATTGTTTGACCTTTACGTTCTTTCAGTTAATCCTTACAAAAAATGTTTTGTGAGCAGTGGAAGATGGTAAAGAAAAACCTGGTAAATTTTAAATTTTAAAAAGTCCTACTACCCTTGCTGTCATAGTTCCCGCGTTCCCAGCTATTAACATGGCGCCTCGGGCATGTTGAACAAAGCCTTGCCGGCCTTGCGCGGTGGAGATGTTAACGATGGGAAGAAACCAGAAATGATTGCATGTTTAGTCTTCCAAGCGTTTCTCGGCCTTTTTGCTAAAATCGACTGTAATTGTCCATGATACTTCAGCTAGGACTTAGTTTTATGCAACGGTTTGCCAGGTTTAATATTAATGAGTAAGGTGGGCTTTCAACCGTACTGCACTTTGCACGTGGAGTGGAGGAGACATTTTGTGTTGCCCGAACAATACTAAGAGGATTTGTTTAAACTACGAGCATTTTCATGTTTTTTATTCCTGAACTCTCGGTAGAAGATCTTTGATTCGCCATTTTGTGACTTCCCTGAAACCCTTTTACCGTCCCCAGGCTAAAGACGCAGCCATTAACTAAGGTCACTGAAGCACAAGTGTAAACAGTTGTCACTCGTTTAAGTAACAGAAATACCTTTGCACATAGAAAATTATGTGGTTGCACATCTAACTAGCCACATCCACACTCCACATGTATTTGATGTGTTTCAAGTCAGTGCAGACCATTACTTTCTGTATTTTTTCCCATTTTGTGAAACCTGTAAGACTCAAATAATTAGTCAAGATTTGCGCACCTATATCATTGTGATTATGTATGTAATTCAAACGCCAACCACTCACTGAAAATATTCCTGCTACCGTTGCCAGTGACTATACTGTCAAATGCAAAAACACTAACCATTTAATTCGTTACACCTGAGCTTGTTTATTACTCCTTTGACATTTGAAGATTTTTGCAGTTATTTTTCTGACTTGTCCAGATCTTACTTCTTATTAATTCTTTTCAGTTTGCTTTCCTGGCTTGCATTCCTTTTATTTTTACAATTATTTGTCGCTTTATTAACTTTATAGATCCTACATATGTCTTCTCATCCAGTGTGCTTTAAATGGTGAGACATCCACGCAGAGTAGAATTGAATATGTCATCCCCTTAACAAATTCCCTATTTCTGTGCCCTACTGTAACCAACCAGAGATTCTTTATATGTCACTTGAGTGCTAACCACCTTTTGCTCTTTGCACTGCCGTCAGAGATTTGAGCCACTTACAGACTTTATCCTCTCATGTGTGCCAAAATGAACTGTAGTTCTCCGAATATTTGCAGAACAGCACTTCAGTTTCTGTATCTTATCTGACACCTGCCTGCGTCCACAACCTTGCCCCCAATTTTGAATTGTAAAGTTCAAGGTACTGACAATTTGCCACAAATGGATCTTTTAATAATAATCCTTTTAAGCCCAGTTTCTTCCAAAAGTAGCCTTCAAATCCGTTGAGGGGTTCCGCAAGAATGTCTCTCAGAACTTTATGTGGTTCTCCCAGATAGTCACTACTTAGGGTTCTCTTATGCTACGCAAAGCACAGCCCACACATGTGCCTACATAGGCTTCACAGGGTTTTTTCTGATTACAGCTGTTGAATTAGAACACTTGTTGATGTTTAATGGCCGTCTCACAATTTTTTGAGGCCTTCCTTAAACAGTGTCTTCATTTTTGTATCCTCAGGACCTACAAAAATATATGACAGTTCTAATGTACTCTTTAAATGTTTGTGCATTCATTTTGCTCTCACTTGAAACTAGTAGGACAAAAAACTTGCAAAATAGTGGTCAGTGCATTTCCATGATAAATTTGTGAAACTCCTAGGTTAGGGAACTGATCAGACTAACTCACATTCACAGCCTTTCTTACAGATACACATGGCCTAAAATTCACTCCCCTATAATACATTTGAAAGACCACATCAAAATTTAGGAGGCAAGAGAGCAGAGACTCTCCTTAGATCTGCTGCTTCTCTTAGGATAAGGCCAGCTTTTGGTGGTAGTAGCAGTCTAGGCTTCCAAAGTGCCCAGTTTTTCACTGACTCAACAGCGGCAATATTAGGTCAGTTCTACAGCACAGCTTTTGATTTTTTTCTCTTACAGGATTTTTCTTCTTTGAGCATGGATCTATATAATTCTTTCAGCACTACTGCTATATATTCAGTGTATCTTTTAATTTTTATTAGCACATGTTTGAAGTACATAATGATTACATTCATCGTGGGGAGGCTGGTACTTGTGCATAACACACCTTAGTGCTTTTGCATCCTCTCCCCACCTCTCTCCATCTCTTGGTCCCCTTCCCATTTCAGTGTACCTTCAAATATCTCTTATAATGTAAGGATCTAGAGATTTTTTTTCTAAAGGTTGTAATTATTTCCTGGTAGAGGATTGTCTACTTATGTTTATTAAACAACAGTGTTAATAAAGGTTGTAACTATTTTCTGGTAGAGAACTGTCTACTTACATTTATTTAACAAGTGTTAATAAAAGTCCCGATGCTCTGTAAACACTATAAAGAGCATGTCTCTTCCCTTCCAAAGATGGCTATGTTCTAGACTCCAGAATTTGTGAATGTTGCCTTCACATGGTAACAGAGACATTTCAGGATTAATTAAATTAAGAATTTGGACAGCTGGGCAAGGTATCACATGCTTATAATCTCAACATTCTGGGAACCTCTGGCAGGAGAGGCACAATTTCAAGGCCTGCCTAGGCAGTTTAGCAGCTTTGACTCAAGACTATTCAATCTTCAATACTGGGGAAAAAAAAGAAAAAAGAAAAAAAAACAACTTGGAGATTGGAAGTTGGTTCTAGAGCACCAGAGTGGACTCGGTGTGTTCACAGAAGTCCTTGTAAGACAGTAGGAGGATCAAAGTCAGAGATCTAATGCAGGAAATACAGATTGTACTACACTTTGGGAACAGAGAAGTCCATAATGAGTAGCTTCTTTTTGTTCCTACAGCACAAAGGCTTTCTCATGAGATTTTCTTTTTGCAGGTCCTATATTCTAGAACATCTTTGCTCTCAGTCCTTATCAAACATCAGATCTTGAATCCAATGCCAACTCCTTGTCCTCTGACCCCCAGTTCTAGGACAGTCCACTCCCCAATCACTTACTGTTTATTTCTTCTGCAGAAATAAACTTCCACAAAAATTACTGCCTCTAGGCATCTCTTTTCTGTCTGCTTCAACAATAACTCTCTGGGCTGGTCCCTTTCTAGCTTGTCACTGCAATACCAGTGGGCAAATAGGGCATAAATGTCTCCAAGAAGACAGAGCAAAACACCAGCATGTTTTCCTAAGCTAACCTTAACTAGCTGCTTGCCTCATTTACTTTTTCAATGGTTAGTCTGACTGAATCTAACCATAATTAGTCAACAAATGGATGGTTACCGGTTACACAGATATTTAGGAGAAAGAAAAATGGGAACTTTCAGTCCCAAGTCAAAAGATGGTCTTAAACAAGTCACTTTATCTCTCTCTGCAGCTTCTGTACAAGTCTGAAGTCTTCACATCTCTGGGTCTACAATTCTAGATACAACACTTAGGCTTAAAATAAATTCATGGCATGTGGATGAAATTGACTCCATTTCCAACAGAGCCTAAAAACTGGACATGAAGGAACTAAAACAAAATAGACCCTGAAATTTTAAAAGATGGCTTTTTTTCTGGCCCTGACAGTGCCAGCATTTGAGGCAGGCAGCTGGTTAGGGTTAGCCTAGGAAAACATGCTGGTCCCTTGCTCTGTCTTCTGTGTGTCAGGGTTTGTGAAGTCTGGTATCTTACCCTAAAGGCAATAAACTAATCTATGACTCATGAATCCTTGCTACCATTTCTGTGACACTCCTTCCTCATGTCACACCCTGCTGGCATAGAGTACATCATGTTTTGAGTTGCTCCATTTATAAGAGGCCCTTCTTCAACTGCCAAATGCCACAACTGCCTCATGCTTCACATATTTCTCCATTCTGCACTGCATTAAACTACTTACTGGCCTTTGTACATTTGCCAACATTGCCTAAAATATTCTGCCCCCATAATCCTTCACTCTTAACTTTTGAATAAGGAGCAAGTGGAATAATATACACATTTATAACATGAATCAGGGAGCAGGGTGTCCTGCTACTTCCATCTCCTCTCTGCAGGAAAATAGGTCTAAAATTCTCCTATAGAGAGGCCCTCTCTCATGATAGCACTGATCCTCTAATACAGGTTGTTATCTGTGTAGTTTCTTTTTTCAGAACTGTTATCATAAAAAATTCAACAGAAGGTGAAAGTTGAGTTTAGTGACCATTTAGCACCTAGACACAATAGTACCATTTTTCTATATCTATCTACATGTAAATTTCAAATGGTTAATCATGAAACTTGAGTCTGAAATACTTCAACATGTAACCCCTATGAAAAGAAATTCTCATAATTTAACACTATCAAATCTTAAAAAATAAAATTCCCTAAAATGATCTAGTACCTAGTCCACCTTTCAATTTCTACAAGTGTCCTTTACATGTTTTCTAAGAGACAAAATGCAGTATACTCTGGAGTTAACATTTGTATTTGTATTTTAAAGCAAAAAAGGCTGGGTATATAGCTCAATTTGAAAAACCTGCATTCAAGCCTCAAGTAGGAAAAAAAAATGAAAAGACAATTACATATAATATGCAAGTTTCAGGATTTTTTTTCCTTTCATGTTTAACTGGCTCTGTAGCACTTGTACTCCGAAAATACATTGAAGTATGATTAAGTTCCAATTACAGCTTAATCAAATGTTTTTTAAATACATACCCAGAAGCACAAATTCAGGGGTAATTTCTTTTATTGATGATAAATGAAATGATGTAGCTAACACAAGGGCCCACTCCTCCTCTGGAGCAATACATACAATTTGTGTGCCAGATGTGGTGGTGCAGGCCTGTAATCCCAGCACTCAGCAGGCAGACGGGAGGATCCCTGCCAGTGCAGGCCCAGGCTGCATAGTGCAAAGCCAGCCTGCAGGCAGACTCTCCAGAAAATAAAATATTTAACTTTGTAAATAGACATGAGAATATTTCAGTAAAGTTTTGTTCACTAACAATACTTGCTGAAATAGGTATTTTAGGAAGTGGCAAAAAGGCACCAAATATCTTTACCACCTCTCACAAAAATTTGCATTAGAGACCAGCATGGTGGCGCACGCCTGTAACCCCAGGAGTCAGGAGGCTGAGAGAGGAGAATCCTTGCGAGTTCGAGACCTGTCCGGGCCACAAGGTGTAATCAAGGCCAGCCTGAACTGCCGAGACCCTGTCTCAAAAAGACAAAAATAAATAAATAAATAAAAAGAATAAAGCTTTACAAGAGAGGTACAGCTAGCCTTACTACAAACATCAACTACTTAGGTCCTTCGTTAAGTCCAACACAGTAGCCGTGCAGCTTTTTAAACCCTGGCAACTTCAGTTAGCCCACTAACTTACAACCCAAAAACACATGCCCTTTCAACGACCAATCAATTCAGACGTACCAGAGCCCAACGCCATGAACAGCTCTCGAGCTATTCACAACATTCAAGACTTGAGTCTCAATACTATCACAACACTCAGAAACCCAACTCTTCAATAAGTGTCTGCGCTCCTTAAAAGAAAAAAGAGAGTGGCCCTAAAAAGGACCTTTAGGTATTGTTGCCAAGAGCAATCCACTCAGCCGCCGAAGCCGTAGAGCGTGCGTCCCTGGCGCTTGAGCGCGTAGACCACGTCCATGGCGGTGACCGTCTTGCGCTTGGCGTGCTCCGTGTAGGTGACGGCGTCGCGGATCACGTTCTCCAGGAACACCTTCAGCACCCCGCGCGTCTCCTCGTAGATGAGGCCGGAGATGCGCTTGACACCGCCGCGGCGAGCCAGGCGGCGGATGGCGGGTTTGGTGATGCCCTGGATGTTGTCGCGCAGTACCTTGCGGTGGCGCTTGGCGCCACCTTTGCCAAGGCCCTTGCCACCCTTGCCGCGACCAGACATGATAAGCCGCTCAATAACCTGACAGAAAGACTAGACTCTCACTCGGGTTTATTGACAGCCTATGCCATGAGTCGGCTCATAAAACAAAGGACCGGACCTATCTGAAGACTGAAACAAAAAAAGGGCGGGAAAGCTCATATGGTGCCCGCCCCTCTTTAATAGTAGCAAGACCTAAAATACTGTCATAAGGAAATGGTCTTAATTCTTAATGGCTCTAAACATAAAATTCACAGAGGAAATTATCCTGCTTGTTAAGTGGTAAAAGTTTTATTCGTTCCATTCCATATGTTTGGGTCGTTTACAGTATTTGGCTTGCCTAAATACCAATAGAAAACGTGTTTGCTAGTGTCAAGCAAAACAAGTGTGTGAAAAGCAGGCTTTGAGATTGGAAGCTGTGAGGAGCTGCTCTTAAACTTGGAAATGTTTCATTACCTTTCAGTCAACTTTTAACTGTTAAAAAAAAGGTGAATAAAATAACTTCGGGGTTGTCATTCTACAAATTCTATTCGAACAAAAGACCTAAAGCACAGACGAGAATTGGGACACGGACAATCCTGACACCTATAGTGTGTCGATTGACCTCAGAAAATTGCAGGTCAGCTGTTCAGTGGGTACTGAAATACACCCCAGTGTTGGCCATGTCAAACCATACAAGGAAGGTTTATGCGAGAGCACATGTAAACTACATAATCTAGCTACACAAAACCAGGTGGCACACACCAAACCTTCATCTTAGATATCCCATAAAATATGACTGAAGACACAGCAGAGGAACCAATCTTAAAACCAGATTAAAAGTATTCTATGTCATTACTTCTCATATTCGCAAATAAGGGACGTTTATGCTTATGGTGGGATTAGATACTAGTAAACTAGGTCACGACGGCCCCAGCCAGGGGAGCTTGGCTTAAAGTATACTGTGCGCAGTACTGACAATGTTTAATACAGTAGCTTCACACCGCCATCACTTTCAGAATAGTGAAGCATTCAGACTAAACAGGGACAGCACAACACTTTTAAGAGAAATTGTAGGTGGCTCTGAAAAGAGCCTTTGGGTTTACGGTAAACGAGGGCAAGTCTATGCCCTCTCCCCACGAATACGGCGGGCCAGCTGGATGTCCTTGGGCATGATAGTGACGCGCTTGGCGTGGATGGCACACAGGTTGGTGTCCTCGAACAGACCCACCAGGTAGGCCTCGGATGCCTCCTGCAGCGCCATGACAGCCGAGCTCTGGAAACGCAGGTCAGTCTTGAAGTCCTGCGCGATCTCGCGCACCAGGCGCTGGAAGGGCAGCTTGCGGATTAGCAGCTCGGTGGACTTCTGGTAGCGCCGGATCTCGCGCAACGCCACGGTGCCGGGCCGGTAGCGATGAGGCTTCTTCACGCCGCCGGTGGCCGGTGCACTCTTGCGAGCAGCCTTAGTGGCCAGCTGCTTGCGCGGGGCTTTGCCGCCGGTGGACTTCCGGGCCGTCTGCTTCGTACGAGCCATCTTAAAGAAAAAAGCAATAGCCACTTCCCCCTCCCTTCTATTTATAACGGCAAAAGCCTCCTGATTGGTCAAGGCTCTCAAATTCCGCTCTAGGAATAGAGAAACACCATGAGCCCTGTGATTGGTTATCAGGTTTGAAAGTGAAACTGTCGACCTATCACGACGTTCTTCTGTAGCTCCTCTATTGCGAGTCCGGGCTTTCATATATATATTGTGCAGATACCTGTACCTCAAGCAATGTATTTGAGAATAAATTGCAAAACGCGGAAATCAACGTTCCGCAGTATCTGGGAAGTTTCACAAAGTGATTTTGACTGTCATTCCTCCAACTTACTAATTTTTTTTATTATCAGTACAGTTTATTAATTTGAAGGCTGTCTTACGAAACAATAGTAGGAGGATTTTCATAGTCTAACACTTCCCAACAATCACTGGCATCACTTCCGGGTAGTTTTTAATACGGAAAGTCTCACAGCTGTGAAGACGTGCAAAATCTGTAATTCCTAAAAAAAAAAAGCTTTAAGAATTTTGACATTGATCATACTGCTTAAGAATTTTGCCTATGGAATAATTGGGAAAAATTAACTTACAGTTCCTAGTTGTAAAAGTAGTTCACAAATAATTTTACAACTAAAAACTCACTTGGCATGAAGCGAGTCAAATTTACATCTAACTCTTCAGATAAGGATCTATGGAGACAGTACATACCAAGGACAACATAGTACCTTAAATTTTTGAAATAAAAATTGAGAGTAATTTTTTTTTTCTAATGCTTTACAAAGGTAATTAGTATGGTTCCACATAAATAGCCAATCAAAAAGTAGATTGCAATTCACCTTATTCGCATGAGAACCTTCCATTGGCTAATCTGGTCCAATCAGGGTTGGAAGAACATTACACCCTATTTGCATAGAAAGCCTACAAAATCAGGCCCGAGTACTTCAGTGCTCTCTTTTTTTTTGCTTTCTTATTTGCATTAATCATGCCTGAGCCCGCGAAGTCGGCGCCGGCCCCGAAGAAGGGCTCCAAGAAGGCGGTGACCAAGGCGCAGAAGAAGGACGGCAAGAAGCGCAAGCGCAGCCGCAAGGAGAGCTACTCGGTGTACGTTTACAAGGTGCTCAAGCAGGTGCACCCCGACACGGGCATCTCGTCCAAGGCCATGGGCATCATGAACTCGTTCGTGAACGACATCTTCGAGCGCATCGCGGGCGAGGCCTCGCGCCTGGCGCACTACAACAAGCGCTCGACCATCACGTCTCGGGAGATCCAGACGGCCGTGCGGCTGCTGCTGCCCGGGGAGCTGGCCAAGCACGCCGTATCCGAGGGCACCAAGGCCGTCACCAAGTACACCAGCTCCAAGTGAGCGCGCCGGGCTGCTGCCTACATAACCCAAAGGCTCTTTTCAGAGCCACTTACAATCTCAAGAGCTTTAATACTAAGTGTTGCTGTAGTTACGTTAACTAGGTAAAACTTACCCGAGTTACATAAAAATATTACAGGCAGTGAAACAGGGCCACGCCCTGGAAGGAGCCAGTGTGTAAGACAAGATACCTTCCTGCAAATGGAGGGGCAGTACTTGCTGCGGGCCAGATCTCAAGATAAAAGATTAAACAAATACACCCACATACCTCCCTAGGGACGGACCTCAGGGATTGGTGTTCTAATAGGTAGCTATCACTTCAAAGAGTCACTGACCCAACCCCTTACAGGAAAAGCCCCTGTTCTGTGTTTCTGCGGACTTGGTAGGTAACGTCCTTCCCCATTTGATCCCGATTTAATCAATTTTACCTGAACAATTCTTACAGACTGACCGTAGTTTTGTCCCACCTCATGCCCACCTTGTGATTTCCCATTTTTTCCCTTACCTTGGACCTGCCTCACCTTGTGGTTTTGCCCTATAAAAGTACCTAGAAAAGATAGTCTTGGGCAACCCATTCAGGCCCTATTCTGTCCTTCTCGGACAGAAGCTTTCTTTCCTCAGTAAAATCTTCTCTTAACCTCCCGTGTTCCTAAACTTCATTGTTCAATTTTAGAGAGCACAAACTTGTCCCACATATCCGTCAGGGTGGGATTTTCTATTTTCCTGTGTCAAAACACTACCAGGGGATGGGGATTTAGCTCAGTGGCACAGCGCCTGCCTGGCAAGCTCAAGGTCGTGAGTTAAATTCCTGGTGCCCGCGGGGGGGGGGGGGGGGGGGGGGGGGGACACTACTAGGCCTGAGAAACCAACAGTCATTTCAAGATGTTTTGTCAATCACTGAACATTTATAATCAGGCCTGGCATGATCTACACACACATCACAATGACACTTAAAGATTCACATTGTAAACATCCCTTTGTATGTTTAGTAACCTAGCTGCCCTATTACTATAAAGTACACGGCATTCCTGGGTGCCATAACCTATCATCAATATCAGAAAGAGCATTTGTTTTAAAAACCTCTTGGGCCTGATTTGGGTTCTTCAGTGATTTTTTTTGGAGGTGGGGACCTTGACCACCTAAAAGCAATACCTTTTTGAGATACCGAAATTGCAAAATGTTCCCTAAGAGATGTTAGTAAGCAGCATCATGACCCCGTCGGTTCCCTGAACCCCAGGAACCACTTGGTATGCACAAAAATTTTCCAAACTCACACTCAGGACAAATGCCTTTTTTAGCACTGCCTGACTTCTCGCTTGAAGGCAAAAGGATGAGAAAATTCTACCTATACTTCTGCCCAGCCTGTGTGTCTTGACTGAATTCCTTTTATCAAGTGCAGGAAGAACTGAGGATCAGGAAGAGGATCACACATCAAAATAAAAAGCTTCCACATATCAAAGGAAAGCACCTACAGAAGGAGAAAAATATTTTTCCAGCTATTCCTCAGACAAACCACTAATAGCTAGAATATATAAAGAATTTAAAACAGGCAGCCCAGGCCCTTGCCAAATTGAAAAACCCAATCCAAAATTGGGCATCTGAAATGAACAGACACTTTTCAGGTGAAGAAGACAAAGGCTAATAAATTCATGAAAATATGTTCAAGATCACTGGCCATTTCAGTAAGGCAAAATAAGCAATACTGAGATACCATCTCACCCCAGAAAAAATGGCTGTCTTCAAGAAATCAGCAAGTAACACATGCTGGAAAGGCTGCTAGGGATTTGGGGGAAGGAACCCTTCAGCACTGTTCGTGAGAGTCTAAACTGGTACAATTTATTGATTTGAAGGCCGTCTCACCCAGAAATAGTAAGAAGAACTGAGAAATATCTCGTACTGATTATATCTTCTTTTATACCATCATCTGATGATGGAGTTTTCATCTCATGAAAATCAATATAGAGATTTCTCAAAAACTGAAACTAAAAATTCCATTTGACCTAGCTATTCCTCTTCAAGGTATCTTCCCAAAAAAATAAAAAATAAATAAATAAATAATTAGACCACGGTATTGTTTGCATACCCATGTTGACAACAACACAGTTTATAATAGGTAAATCTTGGAAACAGCCTATATTTCCATTAACAGAGGAATGGATAAAAAAAATGTACTTAAACATGATGGAGTATTACTCTGCCACAAAGGAGTCATTTGTAGGAAAATGGATGCTCCTTGAAGGCATAATGTTAAGTGAAGTAAACAGCAGACACAAAAACTTAAATATAATATGCTCTCTTTTATATGAGAAATCAACATACACATACATAGAGTAAAAAATAAGACAACCCAGAGGAAAACAGATGGAAAAGTTATTTTAATCCAGCATGTACAATGTATCTAAAAGTATACATTCATGTAGTATAACTGTCTTGTGTGTTTTATATGAATTTTGACCTATTAACCTGGTTGTTAATTCACATGTATAATAATTAACTTTATTAGGATCTATAAGATAAATTTGAATCTGATGTGGGGGAGGAAAGAAAAAGAATTGAGATGTATTAGGTATACTTACCAATTCCCCATAATGAATGTAACCATCATGTATTGTAATCATGGAGTAATAATTTTTTTTTTTTAAGAGTAAGAATCCACTTCCTTCCTGCGTCAAGGAGATGGCTTCCTGGTAACAGTTCATCTAAAAATGTATCATGTTGGAGTAAAAATGTTTGTGTCCATTTCAGCAACCTTGTAATGGCCTTCTCGTGTGCACAACCACTTTGGGTTGGCACAGCCATGTCCTGAGTTATACGTTGACTCAATGTACAGCATTCTCACTTAGTTCTGGAACTGGAAAATTAGAGTTCTGAGAATAGACTGAAAATATATAAGCCATCCTGAACAGCATAATGACTTTATATATGTCCTATGAAAATATCTAGTGGCAGATAGTACATATCCTAATGAGAATATGTTTCCTAGTAAACAGATGGGATTGAGAAAATGTTATAGAAAGGTAAATAAATCCATCATAGTAAAATGAACCTTTTATCTCCAAGAAATATAAAGTTGTGGGTGTCTCTGAGAAAAGCTAGCTAGGATTTGTAAGGAGAAAAGAAAAGAAACTCAGTAAACAGCCTAGGAGTAACATGCCGTTTTAATCTTAGGTAGTATTTGTAATCTTATCCTTGCAGCCAGCCAAGAGGCTAAGACAGTTATGTTGAACAGACTGACAGTCGTGTGGAGAGAACAAATGAAGCTACTATGGATTTTCAGAACGTAGATATTAAGGGACATAACGACAGACAACCACACTGATAAACAGAGCCCCTCAGTTGCTGTCCACAACTGCAGTCCACTCGGTGAAGGGTGCTCCCCTTACGGGCTAAAGGGCCAGCAAGGAAAGTGAGTGGAGAATATTCTAAAATCCTGGATCTGAGATAAGCCCAGGACTCCTCCCCAGATGAAGAGTTAAGTGGATAGACTAAAGCTCTTAAATGTAATCATTTCTGTTTAATAGAGAAAGGCTCAGGAGGATAGAAATTATCCTGTTACCTAAGCAGGCCCATTTTGCTCACAGCACAGTATGTAGCCAATGAATAAAATGATTTTCAAAAAACAAACTGGGTATTTCCAAAGGAACCAAGCCTGAAGGTATGAGAGCCAAGGCTCAAATCCACCTATTCAACCCCAAGGATAGGATTTAGAGATATTTCTGGGATACAGAACGATAGAGTGGTCGGAAGAATGCAAAGAGGTGATTGGAGAAGTAATCAGTGATTTCTGCATGAGTAGTGAAACTCACCGCTCTGCATGGGACGCATGTCCAGACAGTGGCTTTGATACCATAATCCGATGGTGCAGTTTTCAGCCACTTAATGCTCAAAGGTTGCCCTTCAGACCCCTGTGCAGGTCCTCAGGAAATCATTGACTTCTACAAAAGTGACCCTCAAATCCCTGAAAAGAAACTACAGCAACCATTATTATCACATCCCATATGTCAAAAGTGTCATCTATAACAAAGCTAGTAGAAGACTACTGTACTGCTTAGCTATGTGACCTAGAGAATTGGTGATTTTTAAAAGCCAACTAAAAGCGAGTAACTGAGGAGGAATCAGGGAACCAAGAAGTAAAAGGTACAAAGATTAGTGAACAGGAGACTAGGCTAGCTTGTGCTCCTTGGCTGCTAATTATCAAAGTTAGATTTTTTTTCCTCCTATGGAGTCCTGGAGACTGAGGTCTTATTCTTTGATGGTTAAATCTTAAGAACCTTAAATCTTAATGGCGGTCAGGTCCTTCAGAGGTGCTTCTGAGCTGCAAAAGTTGCATTTTTACAATTATAAGACTCTTCTAATAAAGGAACAGAAGATAACTGTGGCCAAGTCAGCAAGGGCTCAGATTTGATTCTAATCTTTATAATAGCTGCAATTTGAAATGGATATTTAAATAATAATCTTAACAACTAGTTGAAAACCAAAGCATCAATGTGAAAGTCATGTTCAAAAAAAACTTCTGGCACTGAGATATAACCCAAGGCCTTTGCACTGATTTCCTTCACTGCCCACCTCTCCACACTCCCCGCCACCACTGGGCTGGAATTTGCAGTCCTCCTGCCTCAGTTTCCCAGAGTGAAGGGATTACAGGCATGGATCACCATGTCTAGCTTCAAATGGCTTTTCATGGACCTAAATTTAAATCCCCCAAAACTGAAATGAGACTCTTAAAAGTTTTCAGATCACCTAGAAACAATTCTGCAAGGGCAACAGAGCAAGAAAGATGAAAAGGGAAGAGGAACCAGCAAGACAGACTTGAAGACGCAAATGATTCATCCTTTTTAGGAGGAGAGCCAACAAACTAGCACTGCAAAATCTCAAGTGTGTACGAACAGACTCTGGTTAAGAATAGGGGTCAGCCAGGAATGGTGGCACAGGCCTATAATCCCAGAATTCTGGGAGGCTGTGGCAAAGGGGTCACCAATTTCAACCTAGCCTGGATAATGTAGCAACAACATGTGTCAAACTAAATTTCAGAAAAGGCTGGAGAGGTAGCTCAGCTCAAAGGCTCTGGGTTCAGTCATTAACACTACAAAAGAAAGGAAGAAAGAGACATTTATATGCCTATGTCCATGTCTCATCACTGGCTGGAAACAAGTTTTCACAAAATTCTAGTTCAGTGCTTTAGTAACATGTGGAAAATAGTACTATAATAATAGTTAATCTTGTTCTTCATTTTTTAAAAACATAAAGTTTTTTTTTTAAGTTTTTTTCTTAATGTGCAATTGTGAGTATCAGAGATTCCTAAAAGTGACACTCAATGTGAAATAATCACTAGTTAAATAATCATAAAAGTATTTCTCTGTCATTTAAACCTACATAGCTCAGCCCTAGAATGAGACTCTGACTGGAATGTACTGTGTACATCTGCTTAATTGCTTGAATTTCTGGCAAAAAATATTCTGCTAGGAAAGAGGAACACAAGAAGCAGTGGGATGGATGAAATTCATAAGGATTTTATAGATGATTCAAACGAACTAGGAAATCCAGAAGTTTTAGGTGAGTAAACAAGGTAAGGTGCAAACAAAAATTAAAATCTGTATTTATATGAGTCATAAATTAGTGGCCGATGAGATACCTAAGAGAAGCTCAGGAACAGCTGGTACGTGCTATACGGAAACAGGAGGAGGAGAACAGAACACCAAATATGTGTGAGATACGCAATATTCATGAAGCATTCAACATTGCTGAGGTCTTCAACTGATACATTTTGGCTCCAACTTACCATCTGCACATGACTGGTCAGTTTGTATCTGTGGCTTATAATTCTCCCTGCATCCCTTCAACAGGTCAAATGTGTGTTAGTTCCAAATAACGTCTATTTGTTAAGCCCTTTTGCTCACTAACAACTCCTGGCTTTCAAAATCACTCTCTTGCCTGGTGTGGTGGCACACACCTATAATCCCAGCACTCAGGAGGCTAAGGCAGGAAGCTCAGTATCACTGTGAGTTCAAGGCCAGCCTGGACTACAAAGTGAGTTCAAGGCCAGCCTGAACTGCTTAGTGAAAACCTGGCTCAGAAGGACAAAAAAAAAAAAACCCTCTCATCAGGAAAAATATGTTGGGGAAAGAGGGGAGATTGCATGTACAACAGCTCTAACCAAGGATTCAGGTACTGAGACTCTCATTTGCAATTTATCTGAAACATATTAACTTACCAAATTCCCTTTCCCTTGTTTCCTGCTATGTGCTTAAAATTGATTCAATAAAAATGTGCAGAAGCCATAGCATTTGGGAGCATTAAATCATTCTGTGAGCCTCTCTGTCCATGGTCTCAGGAATAGCCTGCCTGGTGGTGTATTTGGAGGTTTATTTACATTAAAGGAATGGCTCACATGACATTCTTACTATGTCCCTTCCCCTTGCAGCCCCTGCTCCAGCTCCGACCATCATGTTCACATTTCATCCTGCAGAAAGGAGAAAAGGGCAAGGAAAGGGACATTCCCAACATTTATGGAAACTTTGAAGGGCCTGAAGAATTGCCACCCTAAAATGTCAATTTCAACTTCAAACACAGCATCTAGGGAGAAGGAAACACAAGGAGAGGCTTTCTCTAATTTCCATAAGCATGCAATTGATATGAATCTTCACCCTTTGGAATCTCATTACTATCACCAGAGATAGGAGGTCAAAACCACACCTAGACAGACTTCATCACAGATTCCATCACCTATACCTCCCTGGGTCCACTCATCTTTTTTTTTTTTTTTTTTTTCTTTTTTTTGCAGTACCAGGGATCAAACTCATGACCTTACGCTTGCCAGGCAGGCGCTTATGCCACTGAGCTATATCCCCAGCACTCCCTTCATCTTTCAAAAATCAGTTTCTCTCCCTAAATAACCTACACCCGCTTCTCAGTTCTCTATGCAGAGGGTATATGAGCTTCTCACTGGGGTGCAAGATCTCTCTGGGTTTCTGAGCGTTCACTTTTATTTTGTGTGATGTACTAATGTGCATAATAAATTTGGAAACAGTTTTTTCTGTTGTCATTTATTCAGCCTTCAAGGAATGCAAATAAGTTCCCTTGTGTAAAACCTTGATGGTGGCATAATGCCATCTTTGCAAATACAGCATTAATCAAAATGGACCAAGGGCACACGCAGCTGCAAAGGAATTTGGAGTAGTTTATGGTTTTTGTTTTTGTCTTTTTTTTTTTTTTTGGTATCGGAAATCAAACTCAGGCCCTTGCGCTTGCCAGGCAGGCGCTTGTGCCCCTGAGTTATACCGCCAGCTCTTGGAGTAGTTCAATCACTGAATAAGAAGACATAAACAATTTTAAAGTACAAATCCATTGCAATCCCTGCCTCAGTTCATAGCCCAAGGCAGTGTAAATAAAACAAAAAGAATAGCTCTTAGAATCTAATCAGTGCTGGGCATGGTAGTACATGCCTGTAATCCCAGCATTTGGGAGGCTGAGGTCACCCTGGGCTACCTAGTGAGTTCAAGGTGAGCCTGAATGACATAGAGAAATTTTGTCAAAAAAAAAAAGAACCAAATCAGTGACTCTTTACCTTCAGAAAAACACAGACATTCCCCAGAATTTTTTTTAAAAACAGATTATAAACATGGGCAAGGTTTACTTCAGTTGGAAAGACAATGACATAATCTAACTCTAACTGGAATCTAATTCTCTCTTTAAGATGAACATTGTTCAAATGTGTCCAAATGTGGCTCTGTGCAGTCAAAGTATGGTGTAGGAAATCAGGAAAATACCTTATTCCAGTCAAATTCACATATCTGCAAATACTGCCAAAAAAATACCTCAAAGTAGTGCTTTACTAGTTCTCTAGGTATTTCTTCATACATTCAATTTCACACCCAAAATTAAACTTCAAGAAAGATTTTTAATTAACCATCACAGAAATAAAGCAAACTAGTTGTGTTTCTCAAGAGTTAACCAAAGCAAGAAAAAGAAAGGAAAAGGAAAGGAGG